ACCCCGCAGCCCTACGGGCAACGTGAGAACCCGGAGAGCGCTTTCCCTTCTCGCTCCCACCGCGTTTTGCTTCTCCGCCGCGGCTGCTTTCGCAGCCCAGCCCCGATCAGCGCTCCGTGATTCTTCCCGTGAATGACCCGCAGCGCTCGGGGCACGCGAGCCGATGGACGCGGGGCGGGATGGGGACCGCGGTGCCACCACGGTGCCACCCCGAGCCGGGACGCGCTGGGCGAACATCGCCCCGAGGAGCCGAACCTCCAGCCGTGGGGAACGCGAATGGGGCCGCTCCGCGCTCGCAGCCTCGCGGGACCCCAAGGCACCGCCGCGGGACCCCAGCGCAGAACCCACCCCAGGTGTGGCATCTCCACGTCTGTCCCCAACTCCCCCCCCCAACCCCCCCAGTAAGGAACCCCCTCCAGGAACCCGCTCCCCTTTTTTGAGGGCGATCCGTTGTTCTCCGCAGGGGTGGGCGCTCCCTATTGTTCTGATGGGGGAGAAGGGGGGATTCATTGTTCTCTGGGACGGGGAGGGGGGGGGCTCATTGTTCTCCATGGGGGGAAAGGGGCGCCTATTGTTCTCCGGGGGCTTTGGGGAAGGTCAGCCCTGCTGGCCGGGGGGGTCGTGGATCGCCGTGTGGGGTTCGCTATTGTTCTCCAGACGGAGGGGGGGGTCCATTGTCCGGGGTGGGGGAGCGGAGCTGCGCTGCTCCGCAGGAGACGGCGATCCGGAGGGGGTGCGCCATGGGGAAAGGAGGGGGCACACGGCTCCCAGGGGGCGATGGGTGGGGGACACGTCTCCCCTGGGGGGGGGGTGCTGCGGGGGCCCGGGGCCGGGCCGCCCCATGGTTCGCGGTCGGGCACAGGGCGGGGGTCGGGCGCTGCCAGGGGTTCCCGTCACGCTCCGTCCCGGGGAGGGAGTGGGGCGGGCGGTTCCCATCGCCCCGCGGGAGGGGAGCGCAGCCCCGGGGGCACGCAACCCGGAAAGGCGGGGGGGGGGGGGGGGGGGGCACAAGGCCCGGAATGAATGAGGGAAGGGGGAGAAGAGAAAGGAGAGAGGGGAGGAGAGCGGCGGCACAGAGCCGGGGGTCCCCGCGCAGCGCCCGCCCCAGCCCCAACCCCAATCCCAGCCCCGACGGCGTCCGCTCTGGCACGGCCCCCCCGAACCCCCCGGGCCGTACTCACACGCGGGCGGCTCAGCGCGGAGCAGCCGCAGGCACAGCAACAGCAGCGGTAAAAGGGCCGGCATGGCCGGCATGGGGGGGGGGGGAAGGGGGGTGTCGGTGCCCGTCGGTGCCCACCGCGGCGGAGCGCACCGACACGTCCGGGGAAGTCGCGAACAAGTCTGAGCAGCCCCCGCTCTGCCAAAGCCCTAAATGCCGCCCTCGCCCCGCCCCGCCCGGCCCGGGACCGCCCCCGGGGGGCAGAAAGGCACCGGTCCTCGGGGGCCGCTCCGGTGCCGGCTCTGTGCCCGCAGTGCCCGCCGCCTCCGCCGCCCCTCCGCCGCGGGATGCGCTGTGCCCGGTGCCCCCCCGTCCGGTAGATGGGGGAGAGCCGTCCCGTCCCGTCCCGTCCCGTCCCGCCGTGACTCAGCGCTGCCGCCCGGACACTCCCGCGCCCCCGGGGCCGCTCCCCCCGCGCCTCATCCCCGCGCGGTGCGGTGGAGCCCTCGGGGCTGTTTTCTGGGCTTGGTTTTGTTTTGTGGAATATTTTCTCCCTAATCCCCGTCTTTTTTTCTCCGAGATAACCCCGAGGTTCCCCTCCAGTAACAACAGAAGTGGAGAAAATGCCTCGAGGGACTCCGCGGTGCTCCCGGGGACGCGAGGACTCAGCGGTGGGCGGCCGTGACGCCGCAGGTGGCACCGCTCGTGTTCCCGACTGGAGCGACGGCACCGAGCCCCGGGCCAGCAGCTCCCGGCGGTGGCACCGTCCCCATCCGTGTGTCCCTGCGGCAGAGCAGAGTGGGATGAGGCAGAGGGGGTGCCGAGAGCCGCCCCCCCTCGTGTTGGGGGACACCTGGGCCGTACTGCACCCCAGCCGTCCCCAACCTTTCCTCCAGAGGAGGGGATGTGGGGGGGGGGACGGGACCCCCGGCCCTGACTCTGATCTTGGGATGGGGACGGGATCTATGATAGGGAACACCTGAGGCACGGGGTGACAGTGAGAGTTAGGCTCAGCCCTCCTCCTCCCCCCACAGCGCGGCTGTGCTGCTCACAGGGCTGCGTGGGGAGAGGACTGGCAGCGTGGGGTGACGCCACGCAGGACAGGGTGACGTCGCGTGGGGACAGAGGTGACAGCCGTGGGGAATGGAAGCAGCGTGCGGCTGGAGCCCATCCGAAGGGGCGGCACAGATTGGAAAAACGAAAAAAAGAAAACAAAAAAAAAAAAAGAAGGAGGAAAAAAAAAAAAAAAAAGAGAGACAAAACAATGCCTTTATGCCTTTTCCCATCGTCCCGTTTTGTTGGAACCTTCTGAAGTGTTTTCGTTGAAATTTCCCAAAAATGTCAGCCTGAGGGAGACACCCAGCATGGGAAAGTGCCGCCCCAGCTCCGCGCCTGCCAGCGCCGGGGGGGGGCAGCCGGAGCGGGGCCGCGTGGGGTCCCTGAGGGTGAAGGAGGGGGGGGATGACGGTGTCACGGAGGGGACGGCGGTGTTGAGGAGAGGGACCCCACTGGGGGCACCTCCGTGTCACCGCTGGGGATGGCGAGGGCGGGGCGGGGAGCGGGACGGGGTCAGGGCAGCAGCGGGGCAGTGACACCCGGTGTGGGGACGGGGACCGGGCGCAGCGGGACCGCGGCAGCGCCGTCTGAGTCAGCGGAGCTCCGTATGGAGCTGCTGCCCTTTGGCGGTGACCTTTGCAGCGCTGAGTGCGCAGCGCTCTGCCCACGGCACCGAGCGGGGCTGGGCGGCCACGGCTGCCCCCCGATGGGCCCGAGGTGCTGCCACCCCCCTTCGCTGTCACTCCGTAGTGTCACCTCCCCAACGTCACCCCAAAATGCCGCCCTCCCCACAGCGCATCCCCCCCCATGAACCCCACCAGTGACTCCCGGCACGGCGCAGCACTCCTCGGACGTGGGCACACGTGGCTGCGGGGGGGGCAGGGGGCACAACGCCGGCCCCCCCCCCCCCAGCACAGCCCAGGGACGGGCGCAGCGGAGCTGTCTGACCGCCTGCATCCTTCTGAAGTGACCTGTGGGACAAATAAAGAGGCTGGAAATGCCAAGAATCCAGCGGGCCGAGTTTTCCTTCTATTCCTCTCTGTAGCATTTCCACGTCCGTCCGTCGGGTAATTTATAACTGCTTTAACCTCTTCCGTGCCGCCCCCACCCCGCAGCCCCCGCCTGCGCAGCGCCGACGCCGATGGGAAAAAACCCAAAATGGGGAGTGGGGTTTGGGGGGGGCGTGGGGGCACCGCGGGGAGGGCACCGCTCCCAATTGGGCACAGAGTGCTGCAGGAGGAATGTGGGTCACTGATAAACGCAACCCCCGTTGAGGGCCCCCCCCCGGCCCCGGGGGGGGGGGGGGTCACCCACAGTCAATATTTGCCAACTGTGGTGTTTTAATGCTCGGGAGGGGCTCTGTTTTTTTCTATTAAAACACGAGTGGAGGGGCTGAGAGTGTGGGACGGTGCCAGGCAGAGGGCGGGCGGTGTGGGGAGCGGCTCTGGCAATGCTCCCAGTGCTCCCAGTGCTCCCAGTGCCCCCTCCATGCTCCCAGTAACCCCAGTGCCTCCATTGCCCCCATTGCACTCATTGCTCCCATTGCCCCCATTTTTTTCCCCCATTGCCCCCAGTTGTCCCAGTGCTGGCACCACCAGCACTCAGGCCATCAGGTTCTGTGCCCCCCCCGCTCCCTCCCCCGCCCCCCCTGCTGGCAGCAGCCCCAGCTCTGCCCCACAGCTGATGGGGACCCACCTGCAGCACCGCGCTGTGATTTACGGCAGCAGTCCCCAATCTGTCCCATTTACTTCGCCATTTGTCAGCGGCGCCGGACAGGAGACTGCAGGGCTGGGGGGGGTGGGGGAGGGCCTGGGAGGGGGCTGGGGGAGCGCAGCCAACCCGAGCCCCTCCAGAGCACGTTCCTCCCACCGCTCCTAACGAGGCGCACGGGCTGAAGGAGCAGCGGGCTGATGGAGGGGCCCAACGGAGCCCCCCGGCAGCGCTCCGGCCATGAGTTCCCCATTAGGGCCGGGGGTGGTGGAGCCCCCCGCCCTCCTCCTCCCTCCCCCCCGCGTTGGGGTGCTGCCATCAATAAGGGAGACGGGCAGAGCCGGGAGCGCGAGGCCGAGCCCACGCTTTGATGTCTGCTAAGCCCTGCGAAATAAAAGCCGTAAATCTGGGGCCGGGCGCTGCGCCGGGGGGGGGGGGGGGGAAACTGCGGGGGGCGGAGATGTGCGGGGTGCTGCCCGGGGGGGGGATGATGGCCAGCAGAGCCTGAGTGCCCCCCGCCCCTCTGCAGCCCCCACGTGCCCCGCTCCCCCTCCATGTCCCCGTGTCCCCCCCCGGTCTCCCCGCCTCTGTCCGTGTCCCCTCGTGGCCCCAGAGCCCCCCCCACGTCCCGAGGATCCCAGCATTGCTTTGCGACCCCCCCACACATCCTCCAGTCCCACTTCATCTCCCCCCCGGGATTCCCCCACACCTCCTGCTCCCCATGCAGCCCCCCATCCTCATGCCTCCCCCCGTGTCCCCGCATCCCTCGATCCTCCCACACCTCCGTGTCCCTCCGGACCCCCTCAGTCCTTTCTGCCCCCCACCCCCACCCCCCCGCCATTAACCCCATTAACCCATTACTGCCCGTGTTCTCCTGCCACCCCTTCATCCTCCCTCACCCCCCTGTGCCACGCACCCTCTCCGGGGGTTCCGGTACCGGCGGAGCTGCGGCACTGCGGTTCCCCCCCCCGGCTCCCCCCGCCGCCCCCGCCCGGCGCACGGCGCGTCACGGCGGGGCCGAACGGCGGCGGTGGCATCTCCGCTCCGCTCCGCTCCGTTCCGTTCCGTCCCCGCCATGGCGGCCCCGCGCCCCCCCGCGCTGCTCGCGCTCGGCCTCGCGCTCACCGCCGCCACCGTCACCGCCGCCGCCGGGGGAGATCCGTTCTCGGCGCAGCTCGGGGACACCGGCCCCGGTCCGGGGCAGTGGGGCCCCCCGGGGGCCCCCCGGGGGGGGGGGGGGGGGGGGGGGGGGGGTGGGGGGTTGAGGGGGATGGCGGGGGGAAGGACCCGGAGCAGCGGGGGGGTACCGGGAGAACCGGGGGGGGGGTACCGGAGGTGTTCAGAGCACCGGGAGGGAGCACTGAGGGCATCGGGGGGAAGCGGGGGGGAGCATCCGTGGCACCAGGGGATGCACCGGGAAACAGGAGCGCCGCGGGGGGGTACCGGCAGCACCGGGCAACGCCGCCCGCAATCTGGGCCTGCAGCTACCGGGGGGGGTGGTGGTGGTCAGCGTGTTCCCCCCCTGCTGAGCCCCCCCGGCAACCCCCCCTGGGCTGGGGGTGTCCGCACTGCTGCGCCCATCCCCAGGCCTGAGTGCCTCCAGGGGTCCCATTCTGCTTTGGGATCTCCTTCTGTATCTCCGTCACGGAGCCCCCCCATCCCCCGGGGGCGGTGGGGGCCGCGGTGAGGAGGTGGAGTGCGAAGTGAGCGCTCAGAGCCTCGGATCGGGACAGGGATAACGGGGATAACAGGGCCGTACTGAGGCTGAAGGGAGGGGGTGGGGAGGGGAGAACGCAGGGGGTTCGACCCCTGCGGTGGGGCTGAATGAGGCCGCAGATCCGTGACACCGCCGCGGGTAGAACAGCCCGGACGGACCGCGCTGCCCGGAGGCGGGGGAGGGGAGGAGCTGCACCCATCTGGGCCCACTGTACGTGTCATGGACCCCCCCGGCACCCATAGGCCCCTCCCCACGGTGGATCCCCCCCCGTGCAGGCACACACGGTAGCTTTCCCCCCCCCTCTCTTTTTTCCTACCCCCCCCCCCCCCCCCCCCAGCACGCAGCCCCCATGCACGCACCACAAATGCACGCACAGCCCCATGCATGCAAACCCTCAAATGCGTGCACAGCCCTCCTATGCATGAAAACCTCCTCCCATGCGTGCAGATCCCATGCACACAGTGCCATGCACTCCCCCCCCAACGTGTGCACCCCCCCCTACCCGTGCACCCCCCACAGCCCTTCCAGAAGGGAATCCCATATGGGATGCCCAACAGCGACGCAGGGCCGTGCCACATCCTCTCAGGACACAGACCCCATTGCTCTTACAGCTCTATGGGTGCAGTGTGGCTGGTGGCAGCCCCCCAAAGTGTGGCAGTCTCCTGGGGGGGCCACACTGGGGGTCGGATGCAGCCCCTGGCCGCACTGTGTGCCAGCTCTGTGCCCTGTGCCTGCAGGACGCTGTGCTCAGCGCCTGTCACCGCGGCTGCCGGCTGTTCTCCATCTGCCACTTTGTGGATGCGAGCGCGGGGCTGAACAGCACCAGGGCTGAATGTGAGGCAGGTGAGCGGCCCCCCCCCCGGCCCCAAATGGGTTCTCCCCACCCCGACACCTCCGCTGCACCGCTGCATCCCATACGGCCCATGGGTGCAAGCGGGGAGGCGCGGGTGGCACCGGTGTCCCCTGTGGGGATCTGCCCCCCCTCCATCCTCACCCCACATCCCTGCCCTGCAGCGTGTGCCGAGGCCTACATTGGAGAGGAGGAGCAGTGGGGCTGCAGGACCGGGTGCCGCGAGCAGCTGCCCCACGTGCAGAGGAAGGAGCAGGTGAGGGGGGTGGGCTGGTGCCCCCCGGTGCCGCCCGGCTCTGCTGTGGGTTCCAAGGGTGGGAGGTGTGGGCTGAGCGCTGGCGTGGATTCCCCGGGTTTTGATCCTTCCCAGCAATTATCAACGCTTTCCTTCCCGTGTTTAATTAATGCAGCTTTTGCCCAATTAATTAAGCGAGCCTTCAGCCCAAGGAAGGGGCTCTCAGCGCAGAGCGAGGCGGTGCTGTAGGGAGCAGGGCCAAAGCGGAGGGTCCCAAAAACTCCATTCCATCCCATTTCCACGGGGCAGAGCCCAGGGACGGACACAGCGTCGCCCCCAGCGCTGCTCTGCGTTTCCCAGACGGTCGGGCCGGGCAGATTTAGCAGAATAATTAGAGACAGCATCTGACCTATTTCTTTCCCGTGCGCCGCTCTGACCGCGCGAGGGGCGGTCGGCAAAACGCCGGCGGGGAGCGGCAGATTCCTGCAGGGATGCGTTAAAAATAACAAACTGCCACAACGGCCAAAAATCCGGGGCATGGGGACACTGCCAGCGGGAACGCCCTGAGCCGCTGGGGGAGCACGGGGCCGGGGGGACACCGCGGGATGGGGCCGGAGGGGGGCGTCCGTCCCAAAGGGGCCCCTGGTGGCTGCAGGGTGTGGGAATGGGGCTCTGGAGGAGCGCTGGGCTCGGCGCAGCCGTGTCCCTGCATGGTGTTGTTTGATGGGGGGGGGTTGAGGTGACGCCGCGTCCCCGCTGCTTTGCAGAGCGCAGAGGTGAAGGCGCCGTCGCTGTCGGTGCTGGATTTGGTCTCCTCTTTCTGCACTGACATCGTCAGCTCTGCCCACAGCTTCATCTCCTCCACGTGGACCTTCTACCTGCAGGCGGACGATGGGAAAGTGGTGGTGTTCCAGGTGGGGGTCCCAAGCCCTTCCTGCTGGGGACTGGATGGGATGGGGCCCTCACGCTGACTGCTTCTCCCCTCCTCCAGTCGCAGCCCCACATGGAGTTCCCGCTGCCTGAAGCTCAGATGACCCAACCAGAGTGGCCTGAACCAGGGAACGATGCCCACTCCCCCCAACTCCACACAGGTGAGGGACTGCTCTGCTGCTGTCTGGGTCAGGAGCCCTCCTGGCAGCTTCAGATCCCACCAGAGTGGAACAAATTGTGGCTCTGATCTGCTTCCCAAACCCATGGCACACATAGCAAGGAGCTGCAGGAGCTCTGTGCACCCCCTGCAGGGAGCGAGCCACCAGGGGAGCACAGCCAGCACTGTGCACCTCACAGCTCACACCTTGCACCCCTCATCCTGCACCCTGCACTTTGCACAGTGATGCCCGCTCTCAGCACTGCTTCTCTTGCTTCCAGGCCCCCAGCAGAAGGAGGAAAAGTCCCCCCCCAAGAAGGAGCCATGGGGCAAAGCCAAACCCATGGACACCCCACAGCCAGAGCACGACTTCCTGGGCTGCATGGCCAAGTAGGTGTCGGGGGCTGCGGGGACCCCCTTCCCATACCCAGTGCACTGCCATAATGCGGCCCTATTTCCCTCGGGTTCGGGGGTGCTATAGGCGCTCGGGCCTCCCCCGCTGGATCCTGGCCGCCTGCCTCTTCCTCTCCATCGTGGTGATGCTGTGGCTGAGCTGTGCCAGCCTGGTGACCGCCCCCGAGCAGCACATCAGGACTCAGGTATCGGCCGCCCCTGTGCTGCTGTTATGCTGTGGGTGCTGCATTGGTGGGTGTTATGCATCAGTGCTGCATCGTCTGCAGGCTGGGGACAGTGAGGCCCAAGGTCACACGGTGCCCTCTACTGTTTTTCAGCCTCTGAGCATCAATGGTGACAGGGAGTGCCTGGAGGACCCGCGTGGCCCCAGTGTGTTCCCACTGCCGCCCGTCATCGCCGTCACTCTGTGCCCCACACACGGTGAGGATGTGGGGCCGCTGCCACTCAAGGTCGACCTGGACAAGACCATCCTGTAGTGCTCCACCTCTCCCCATCACCTCCTCATCACTTCACTGTCCCCATGCCGGTCCCCCTTCCGACCTCATCCCTCTGCCTCCATCGGCCACAGCCTGGAACTTTCCCCCTCCGTCAGCACTGCTGCACTCTGCACTCCCGCTGCCCAGAGCCCAGCGACCACCGCCAGCATGGAAGGGGGGAGCGCAGCCCCGGCCCCCCCTCCGGGCACGGCTCCAGCGGGGCAGAGGCAGCGCCTGGGGGGGCTTTGGCTCGGCACAGCCCGGCCCCCACCTCGGGCTGAGCCCCCGCGGCGCCGGCCCCAGCCCTGGGAACTCCCTTCCGCCGATGGCCCCGCGGGAGCCGGAACGTGGCCAATGGATTTGGTGTTGGCAGCCAAAGCGGAGAGAGCAGCCGATCCGCCGCCCCCGTGCCCATGTGAGCACCCGGCCGGGCCCTGGCTGGGGCTGCAGGACGCTCTGCGATGGTTCTGTGCTCTCTCTCCACTCCGTGACACCGGCGGGGGGCACTGGCTGGTGACAGAGTGACATTTCCCATCCTCTCGTTCCTGGGATGATCCACATCTCCACAGCATCCCACAGGGCAGGACCGGGTGGCACTGACCTCGTGCCCCCGTGAGGGATGAGGGCCGGTGTCCGGGGGGCCCCGTTGTGCAGCCCCCCACCCGCAGCAGTGCTCAGGGCACACGGGGCCATCTCCCCTCTCCCCATCTCCATCACTTTGTGCATTGTTCTGTGTTTGATTCACACCGGCATGCAGTCTGCCAGACCCGGGCACCCCGTGGTGGCACCCAGCCCCCCACCTCCTCCCAACACGTGGTACAAAGTAACTCATTGCCCGTGCCCCTTCCCATCGGTTCCTACACTCACCCCACGTTGGGAGGCAGTGATGTGTGTCGCTGTGGGGTGAGGGGGCATCCCTGGAGGTGTCCCCCAGCCCCATCAATTTTGTGCTGCTCCATATCACAGTGAACATATCAGGGTTGGGGAGTGGGTGGGGGTCTCGTGTCCGTAGTTGGAGTGCACTTCTTGGTGTTGCTTTCTGGCAGCTCAGCTCGGTGTTGGTGCAGTCTGTGTTGTCCCGACCCCCCCCTCATTTGCAGAGTCCCAGGGGTGCAGCGTCCCCTCCAGCAGTTCCCCCCCTCCCACACTCTGAGATGGGTTCAGGAAACAAACCTGGCGCCACACCGCGAGCAGAGCGCGGGTCGGACACGGGAGGAGAAATAAAAGGTTTGTACCAGGGTTGGCCCGCTGGTTTCTGGGTGTGGGTCTGAGCCCCGGGGTGCGGGGTCGGTCCCGGCTCCGTGCAAGAAGCAGCGCGGATGGCTGTAAGGCGGCGCAGCGCGAGGGCTGCCGTGCACACGCACGCCTTCCCCCACAGAGCCCCGTTCGCAGCAGAGCTGTTCTGCAGCCCGTCTGTGTCCCCGAGGTGGGGGTCCCGAGGCGACCCCCTCCCCCCCTCACTGCACGTCTCAGCGCTGCTGCTTTCCACCCACATTTCCCGTGTGCAGCTCGGGGCGTTGGTGATGATGCCGGCATCCGGCGATGGAGCAGAAGGGGACAAAGCCCTTCGGGAACCCTTGGTGGGAAGCCCACGGCACAGCATTGCCCCCCAACAAACCCCCGATCCCTCATTACCCATTAACCCCTTATTGCCCGAATGCCCCCGGCGCAGGGGGAGGTGGGACGGACAGCTGGCAGACCCTGAGCGCCGCGGGCTCCGGCGGTCCCTCCTGGGACGGGGCTGCAAACAGACTCCTCGCCTTCAGGCTGGATCAGATTCCTCACTGCTGGCGCGGGGCGCAGGGAGCCGTGCCCAGGAAGGAGCAGGTGAGGAGGGACCCCGCTGCAGTGAGGAGAGACGCATGAAATCCGCTGGTTCCACCCCCCTGCAGGCAGCCGGGCTGAGTTCCACCCGACGCCTTTTTCCTTCTCGTTCCCTCCTTGCAAGTTTTTCACGGGGAAAGAAAAACATCGCGGTGTGTGGCCCCATGTGCCAGGAGCGATGCCATGGGGAGGAGCGGTGGGATCGCGCCCTCACCCCACGGTGGGCATCGGGGGCTGCGAAGGGCCACGTCCTCCCCACCGGCTTCAGCTCAGCCACGCTCGGGAGGGAAGCGCAGGCCGGTAGGTGGGGACTGTCAGCCGCGCTGAGGCCAGCGGCGGCCCCACGGCCGCCAAAAAGCCGGGGGGAGGCGGCGAGCTGCCCCCCCAGCACCCCACGGTGGACCTCGAAGCATCGCCCGGTTCGTGCCGTGCCGCCGTTCGGTGCCCGTGCCGCTCGGTGCCGCCGCTCGCAGCCCCGCTGGGTCCGGCTGCCGCTGCCGCTGCCTTTTCCACCCCCCCAGGGGCGCCCCCCCCCTCCCTGCCCCACTGAAATCTCAGCTGCCCGGAGCTGGCCCCGCTCCACAGCCGCTCACACGCTGCCGTGCGTTCACGCACGGATTTCCCTCCCCGGGAGCTGATGGGGCAGAAACCCAGGGCTGGGATGGGGGGGTGGGGAAGGGTCCCCAAAGCCCCCTTCGTGCACCCCGCTGTGTCCATCGCAGTTCGATCCATGGTCGGTCGGGGCTGCACCCGCTGCTCCCCCCGCTCTTTCCCAGCAGGGCCGGCTGGGCACAGAGCACAGAGCAGCCACACAAGGCTTCTCCGCGGCTCACAGCGAGGAATGAAGGGCTTTGATAAGGGAACACAATGGGGAGGAAGCGGCGGTTTTGGGCCTTCACAGAGCGCGTGTTTTGAAGATGATGGAAAGAGGGCCCGAGCTCCTCGTCTGGGCAAGGGCTGCCTGTGTCCTCATCGCTCTCTGCTCAATGCGCGGCCACACCGCTGCTGTCCCGGGCAACTTCATCGGGCTGGGGCTCTGGGGGGGGGGTAAACCTTCATCAGAGGAGTGAGGATGAGGATGGGTCGAACCGGCTGCCGGTGGGGGGGATCAGCTGCCCATCCTCCTCCCCACATCCCCCCCACCCCCCTGGGAGGAGAAGAGCCGCGGGTGATTCAGCAACAGGAAAACCAAACGAAAAACAATCTCCTGGTGCTAATGGGATTGGTTCTGTCCCTACCACGCACATTCCAGCCCAGCTCGAGGGACGGCTCGGGGGAGAGGGGGAGCAACAAAGCCAAATCCTTTCCCGTGTCCAGGCGGCAGGGATCGGCGCGGTGCCGCTGGCCGGAGCGCCCCATCCGCAGCCGGCACTGCGCTGCGTGCCTCCGCCAGCCGCCAAGTGACATTAATTTTCCATTCCCTGGGCTTCATTACTTCTTGGAACGCGGACCGCGTGCGTTGGGCCGCGAGGGGCTTTCGCTTCCCTCCGTGTTTATTCTCTCTGCCGTGTGTTCTTCTGCCAGGTGAGGAGCGCAGCCAAGCTGGTCAGGGGGAGCGCGGCCGTATGGCTGCGGTTTGGCCGCGCGGGTGGGAACGGCTTCCCGCAGCACCTGCTGGGCGCCCGGCGGCGGAGCAACCCGCTGCTCACCGGGGGACGACACGTGCGAGCCGGGCCGGGCCGCTTTGCTGCATCGCGGCTCTGTCGGACGGCGCTGGGGACGGAGAGCGACGCTGAAGGCGGCGCTGGGAGCGGAAGGACGCCGAGTGTCGTGCAGCCACCCCGCAAAGCAGAGCCCACGTGGCACCGCTGCCGGTTTTCTGCTCCAGCTGGCCTCCAGCTTGCAGGGCACGGCCGTGCCTACACCTATGGGTGCACGGACACAGCTGTTAGCTGTACGGGATGCGATGGCCGTGCTTTCCCCTGGCCAAGGAGCCGGCGGTCTCCATCCCAGCAAGGATGCTGTGATGCACCGTTGCTTCAGCTCTGTGGTGAGCTGCTCCGTGCCCTACGGGAGCGCTGTGAGGGAGGAGGAGGGGGTGTGCCGTGCTCACAGCCCCCCGGGAGGCACCGGGAGCATCTCTGTGCCGGAGTGCGGCGGTGAGGAGACACGAGCAGGGCGTCCTGATGGGGTGAAATGGAAGGAAGGGGAAGGGACGGCCCTGGCACATGCAGGCCTGCCCCAGCCCGTGTGCTTCCCCAGCTCATGTGCTTGCTGGGATTACATGGGGATTAGGGGGAGCAGCCAACCAGGAACGGAGAGGGATGCGATTGCCGGCACCAGAAGTGGCACCAGCACCAGAAGTGGCACCAGCACTGTGCCAGCAGGAGATGGAGCAGCGCTGGTGCTGGCGCTGTGTGGAGGCAGCAAGCAAGAGAGGTCACCCAACTGCTCCTCTGCGCCAACAGCGTGAGGGGAGGCGAGAGGCTGCGTTGTGTTGGGGAGAATCTAGCAGGAATCGGGAAAAAAAGCTCCATCTGATGGCTGCCTGCACCCACAGCCAATGGAGCTGACAGCAGTGTGCAGAGCTGCTGCTGGGCATTGGTGGGACAAATGGGGGGGGGAAGCCCAGAACTTTATGGGGAGCCTGCAGTGCCGGGGGAAGATGTGGAGCACAGATGTGGGACTTGAGGCTGTGACAGGAGGGAGTTCGGGTGTGCTGAGCAGGCCCAGGGCTGGGCCTCGTGCCTGTGGGGCTCCAACATCCCGACGGCTTACAGCGAGCCTCAGGAAAACGAGGGATGTGCAAAGTTTGGGGCTGATCCCTTTGTTTCTTCCCCTGTAAGTCGGATTTGGGCTTTTATGGGGGGATCGCAGCTCTCCACAGTAGGAGAGCTGGGCTGCCCTGGCGGCTGTGTGCAGGATCAATGCATTACAGCAGTGCTGCTGCGCTAACGCTGCTCGTAAAAATCACCTTAGATATAAGTCAGGCTCCGTGGGGACGGGGCTGAGTGCACTCAACAAATAATGAATAGGAATAAAAATAAATATCAAATGGCCCATAAAATCAAACAATAACGGTAACGAGGAAGTTCCTGGATCTGCTGCGAGAGATGGAGTCCCATCGGCAGTCTGGAGCAACACGAAATACCCCCTCTGCTTCCCTCTCCGCATGACACAAGTCAGCACGCCTGGTCAGCAGAGCTGTTATGGAACACATCTCCCTTCCAGCGTTGTATACATGCATTTTTCATGCTTTTGGGAGACTTTGGGGGTTCTATTTAACTGGGATCTGGGGAACATGTGAAAGGCATTTACAGCATGCGGTGCTTTTCCTGCCGGGAAGCAGAGGTGCAGCGCTGAGGGCCGGGTGGCAGCAGGGCCAGGTTGGAACCGCGGCCTTAAACAAAAGCGCTTGTGATAATGCACACAGAAACCTGAAAAATGAAATGTGGAGGTGTGAAGTGTAAAGCTGGCAAAGAGGAAGGGAGAGCTGCAGAGAGAAAGCGGCCCTGGAGGAAGCAGGGCGGAATGGATGGGGCTGGTGCTGCAGGATGAGGGCTGGGGGTGGCAGGAGCAGCGATCCCAAAGCCCAGCACGGCGCAGCGGGCACCGCAGCCACGCAAACAGCAAATTAATGAGTCCTGCTTCCCTTTCTCCCAAAGGTTTCATGGGGCTTAATTAATGAATGTCTGTAAAACGCATTTGGAGCTGGGAATGAAATGTGCTGTGGAAATGCCAAATATTTTTAATGCTCCAGCAGATTTAGAAGGTTTAAATAGGAAAAAGACACAGCATTGCCTCTGAAATAGATTCCTCTCCTTGAAGCAGAGGGCTGCAGAACATGAAGTTTTCATCAGGCTGACTTGAAAGGGTGTTTTCACGGCTTTCCAAGCCCATTTATTCCCCCTTTCCCTTATACAGATGTGGACGCCGAGGCATGGGAAATCAAAGGGATTTACCCACGCTCATTGGCAGAGCCACCAGGATGAATAATTTCTGGATTTCCACTGGCAGTGGAATGCCCTCCTGCCCATCCGCCGCCTCCAGATGCGCGGCGGCTTGAGAAATTACACAGCACATGAGGCCTGGCCACGGGCACGGCCATGGGAAGGCAATGAGGACATCAGGTGTGACAACAGAATGGCATCCTCTGCAGTGCAGTGCTGCGCCCACACAGCGCGGGCTTCACCTCAAAGCCTGGTCCAGGATGGATGGCTGGGCGAGGGTTGGGGTCGGGTAGTTAAGGTTGGGTGGTTGGGGTTGGGTGGCTGTTGAGGTTGTTTGGTTGTTGAAGTTGGTGGTTGTAAGGCTGGGTGGTTGCTGGGGTTGGGTGGTTGTTGGAGTTGGTTGGGTGGTTGTTAAGGTTGGGCAGTAGCTGGGGTTGGGTGGTCATTGAGAGCTTGTCTGACTGTTGTGGTTGGGTGGTTGTTAAGGTTGGGTGGTTGTTGGGGTTGCGTGGTGGCTGAGGTTGGGTGGTTGTTGGGCTCCACTGACTGCCCTCAACGCCGGCAGGTCCGTCCCCAGGCCACGGGCCCTGTAACCACGTAACCCAGAAAGCATTTCACGCACGGAGTCCCGATGGAAATCGTTCAGCACCCGGCTGCGGGTCACCGCGAGGCCGCGCTCACAAAACGAGCGGCCGCAGCGCGCAGCCACGGCGCCGTGCGGCTCAGCGCCACCCCCACCCCCATCTCGGACCCAAAGCCGCTCCGCTCCCCCGGGCCGCGGCACCGCGCAGCCGTTCCGGGCGCCGCCACCCGCGGTCCCCGCGTTTCCCGAGGCCGCTCCGCGGTGACCCCCGGCGGTGGCGGAGCGGCTCCCCGAGCCCCGCTCGCCGCTGCGCCTTTAACGCGGCGCCCGCCGCCTCCCAGCCCGGCCCGGCCGCGGCGGCGCAGCGAAGATGGCGGAGTCCGGAGGTGCGGAGTTCGGAGCGGAGCGGCCCAGCAGGTGAGCGGGGCCCGGCGCGGCGCGGGGTCGGGGCGGAGCCGCGGGGCCGCGGGGCCGGGAGCGGGGAGCGGCTCGGGTGGGCGCGGGGCGGGCGGGGCTCGCGCTGTACGGCGGGCCGCTCGGCTCCGGCCGCGCCGCGCTTCGTTCTCCCTTCGTTTTCCGCCTCCGCGGCCGGGCCGCCCCGGTCGGCGTTCGTCGCTCCGAGCGCTGCGGGAGCTCCGCGGTTCCGTCAGCGCGGTGCTGACGCTCAGTTCGGCCCGGCCTGCGCTGCAGCCACGCGGCCCCGAGCGGCGCAGCCGGGCGGTGCGGGGCGATGCGGTGCGGTGCCGTGCGGTGCGCTCTCCCCGCAGCACGGACGCATCGCGCTGTGCTCTGCGGTTCCTTCAGCACGGAGCCGGCAGCGCTCAGAAGGCCGCGCCGTCCGTCTGTCCGTGGGCGCCGCGCCGTCCGTCTGTCCGCGGGTCGCTGCCCCGAGGCGCTGCGGGGTGGCAGCGGTTTGTTTCGGGCTGGAATGAACCGCCCCGCGATGGGACAGCGGCCCCGCGGTGCTCTGTGTGTCCGTAGGTTTGTTTTTGTGGATAATTTAAAACTAAAAGCCGGGTGAAACGTGAGAGTGAGAGCCGCTTCTCGCTGGATGTCAGCGTCACATTTGAAGTGATGGATTTATTGGAGGATATGGGGAGAAGCCTGCGGGCGACACTGGAGACACCGCACGGCCTCCGTGCAGTAAGAGGAGAATCTCAGGGCCCCGTCCGACCCAAAAGTGCCTCCTCGACAGCTCCTTCTGCCCCTGACCTTTTTCACTTACTGAATGTTTGCTCTCTGAGGCAGAGGATGGAGCCCTGCCTCGCCGTTCCTTGCACATGCCATTTCGCTGGTGCCGTTACCCAAACAGCACAGGCAGAATTTCCATCTTTGGAATTGCGACCGCGTGGCTCAGGAGGGCAACGTGCCATGCGCTGCCCAGGGCAGGACGAGTGTGCTGGGAACCCCTCAGCCCCGTGCTCTGAGCATGGCAGGAGCTTTGGGGCTGTGATGGTGTGAAGCGCAGGCACTGCTCTGCACCTGGTTTGTTTGGGATGTGTGCATGCGGGAGAAGCACACACTCACAGCACGTTTGTGTCCTCTGCAGCATTCTTCTTGCATATTGCTTTGTTGTTCTAACAGCACGTGGTTAGATTTCTTCTTATAAATAAAAGCAAACAGCCCAAATCTTCCCTTTTGAAATAAACTTTGTTGTTTTTTTTCCTCCTTTCCCTGTTAATAGTTTCCTGAGCTACAGCTGGTTTCGTGTTTTGCCTTGCACGGAAGGAGCTGCAGTGTTACCCTGCTGGTGAAGCTGTGCTCAGTGCTGCTCACAGGGATGCATTTTGGGTTTGGCGAGCGGAACCAGCAGCAGAAACTCTGCGGTCGTCGTGCCCTGAGTCAGGGAAGGCAGTGAGATGTGTGAACTGTGCGGCGTTGCTCACAGAGCACCACGTGAGGTCACACAGAGGTACAGGGAAAACATCTTTCGGGTGCATGGATGGATGCCATCACGTAGGCCTTCAAGCAGGAGTTAATTGGGGTGCCCAGATGTGCTGCTGGGGAGGGCTGTGTCTCTCCAGCCTGGGTTGATCCCATGAGGAAAGGAAGGCAGCCGGGCTGTACAAACACTCCTCAAAGCCCTCCCTAATGCTGTTACACGCTGCCGAAAGCGATCCCACCTGTCAAAACCAGAACGGATGGATGGGGGACCTGCAGGTCCCTCTTATCTGTGAGTACATGTGTGTTCACATCGAGGGGAAGGCAGCCTGAACTCCCCTAACCCCACTGCTCCCGGAGGGACAGCAGGACGGCAGGGCAGGGCGAGGTGATCAGGTGAAGGAGGATTGCAGTAGGGGCTGAGTCGGCCTCACCTCCGTGCTGCTGTAACCTCGCACGGCTTCGGTCTTTGCTTGGACATTCTTTCCTTTTGCAACCATGCGAAGTTTTGTGTGGTTTGTGCGTCCTGTACTCTGCCACGTGGCAACTGAAAAGCAGATGTAGTTGTTAGATCTGGTAGACGTGGAAATGTTTACACTCTGATTGAATCGCTGTAAAAAATCACTGCTGCTTTCTTGTTCAGTGTTGGGAGACTTTTGAGCTGGAGGCTTTATTTAGACCAGAAGAAAAACCCAGTGATTCTGTACAGGTTTTTCTCTTGCTCGGTACTGGTGGCTCTGTAGAGAAGTGTCTCACACTGTGAGGCTGTGGTGTCTCTTCCAGTTCCTTATTTGTATGGAGGATGAATTCTGGACATGCAGAGGAATCAGTGCAGATGAGGAAAATTGGGGAAGGGCTGTTCTGCACTTGTGGCTGCCCTGGGTTGCGTTGTTGTGGTGTGAGGTGTGCATGGAGCCAAGCTGCCCAGGAAGGTGTGTGGATGTTTGGGATGGGCCCACACCTGTCTGCAGGTACGTGGGAGGTGCAGGTAAGGAGGGAAGCAGCTGCAGGCGGCCGTGGTGGTGAGATCTGCTCATGGAACTGAACTGGAATTGGTGTTACGGTGCCAAGTGCTGGGGCAGCTGTTTGCATCTGCTGCAAGAAGTGCTTTCTCCAGCTTGCTTAAAAGCCATGGTGGGGGTTTCTTGCCCTGCCTGCTGTTCCATCGCTTCGCATTGCTTTTGCTTGAGATCCCTGGCTGCTCGGGGCGGTCGGCTGGAGGGTGGACGAGTGGAGTGAGGAGGAGCAGCGTGCTGTGGGTCACGGCAGCGTGGCTCTGCTGCTCCCTGCCTGCTCCAGCACCACTCTGTGACCGCACTGCTGTCACCTCTATTGCAGCGCTGCCTGGAGAATGCTGTAGGGTGCTGCAGAAATGGGCTGAGGCGAGCGCTGCTCCGAGGAGCTCATGGTCGGGTTTTGAAGTTGTCCTCAGTTTCTCACGTGGAGCAAAGGGATCAGTGTGGTTGTGTGGGCTGGAGGGGTCACGGAGCGGTTTGCTTCTAGGGGAAGCTTTCTGCTCTGAACTGCAAGAGGGGCTGAAACGGGCCATCCCTGACTGAAGGGTGACCCAGGCGCTGCTGCCTTGTGATGAGCTGGGAGGCTGGGACGGGACCTGCTGGATTTTCGGCCAGCGCAGGCAGTGCCTCAGAGCAGCTGAGTTCCACCACTCCCTCTCTGAATGCAAAAAAGGGATCCCACCGTGCTGACCATGGTGAAGGCAGCAGCCCAGCCGTGTCCCTTTGGGGTGGTCCTGGTGGCTGTGCTGTGCATCCCAGCACCACTGGGTGCCTCCCAGCCTTTGCTCAGCTGCCGCCGGCGCTGCAGGGGCGGTGGGTGGGGGTGCAGGAGGCACCCGCTGCAGCTCTGGGGGCTGAACGAGGACAGGGATGTGCTGCAGAGGTCTGGGCTTCTGGTACCTCTGATTTGGTCTCGCTTGCTTTCTTTTCAAGCCAGGGTTTGACTGTAAGGGCACGTGGTGGGAGAACCGGCTGCTGGCAGCGCTGCCTTCAAACAGCATCACAGTGCGTTGGGAGCCATGCAGCGTGGGAATATGGTCACATTGTGTGCAGTGTGAGATCTGCTGTGCTTCTGGTGGTCCTGGAGCTGGGAGCAGGAGGGGGCAGCTGGCTGCACTGCTGCCCATGGCTGCCACAGTGATTTATGTGCTCTGAGTGACTTTTGTATGGGCTCAGTTTGCTCCAGGCTCAGTGGGATCGGCTTTGGGGCCGACAGGAATCCGATTGCTGTAAGGTTTGGGGATGGCACCTTCAGGCACTGTGAAAGCACAGGTTGGTGGTGGTGGCGCTGCTGGTGGTGGCACAGAGATGAGCCTGGCTCTGACGCAGAAGCATTTTGAAGAATCTTGTTCTTTTTTCTTTTCTTTTTCTCACCATTTGTCCGGGTGCAGCCTGTACTGACCATCCCCTCACGTTGAAACTCCACGAGGTGGCACAGAGTTTAATGTGTTCGGATGTCTCGCCCTCCACTTTTTTGTTCCATGCTCCAATGCACCATTTCACCAGCCAGCTTTTGACAGACATCCAGTTTCATTAGCACTTGTAGCAGAAACCCAAATCCCACCTCCTTTGGCTTGCAGACAACCTACGATGGAAGTCTAGGCAGAATATCTGTGTGTGTGTGCTGGGTTCTGCCTGCACCCAGTCGGAAAGCAAACAAGAAGGAGATGCAGACATGTTCAAACTTCTCCTGATACAAAAATAACAATAATATTAAGACAAAGAAGTTGAAAAGACCTCTGCCTTGCAGTTGGGTCCTGGGGGTTCCCTTGGCTCCAGCTTTGGGACAGGTGGGCTGGAGGATGCTGAAGGACAAGCAGTAAGTGGATGGGGAGGACAGATTGAGAACTGACAGTAGTGACTCTGTATGGTTCTCCCTTCTCCAGACATTAACTGTAACTTTGGGACTGGAAGTTTAAAAGACAAAAGGTTTTTCAAACCGCTGCTGAATTCTCACTGTTCACTTTGAGACATTTTGCAGAAGACCATTTTTCCCCACAAAGCATGAAATCCTTCTAAAGCTCGAACTCATCGATGATCTTCATTTGAGCACCCCACATGGCGTGTCACCTCTGAATAGAGATGTTGGTCTCAGGCTTTCCACTTGCATTTACTGCTTTTGATGAACAAGAGGGTGTCAGGAGGGAAAATGAGTGGAGGCAGAGGAGGGAAATAGGAGGAATTAAGGGGAGGAGGTGGAAAAGGGAGCAAAGAGATTTTGCTCACGTGTCTTTCTAAAGATGACGGAACCATTGCCTTCACTCAGTGCGTTAACATTTAATTAGCTGCCGTGCTAATTGCTGTTGCATTTGCTAAGGACTCAATGGCAGGTGCAGTTCCTGGGGGTTCTGTGGCAGTGCTGTGCTGCCGGGGGGGGTCGAAGGGCAGGAATCCTTACAGTGCAGCTCTGCTTGCACCCACGGGGCGGCTGTGGCACTGGGGGGGGAGTGCAGGGTGCCAAAAGCTCCTCTTCAGCATTGGGGCATGTGACAGGGAGCCTTAGGATCTGAGATATTGCAGTAACCATGGCTACCGGTGACTTATCTGAGGGAGTTTGACTTTTGTTTTGATTTTATGTGTCTTAATTGTAGTTTAAAAATCAGAACCTGAATGTGTTTTTCACTTAGGCGTGAAACTGAGGGCATTAAATGATTTGCGTTATTGAAGTATCTATAATGCTGCCTTTCAAACTTATTCTTGAGCAGAGCCCTTAATATTCACGCTGTACGTGCTAAATAAAGTCACTGCAGCTTTGTGGTGGTTCTGTTGCTCTCGCCATAAAAGCTGTTGCAGGCTGGAGTGCTCAGAAGGTGCCTGGCCGGCTGTTTTGCAATCCCAAGCCCTTTGTTTATGTGGCACCGCGTACTTTATGTGAACACACACAAGCTGCTGCTTTTCCTCTGTCCTCTTTTGTACCCCAGCCATGCCCCGCGGGGTCCTGCCTTCAGAGCTCGTGTTTACTGTAGAGGCTGGCTGCTGGAAGGTTGCCCTGCGTGGAAATCTTGCCAAGCCCCTTGAGTTCCTCCTGTATGAAACATTACCGAGCACCACCTGCCCAGAGAGCAGGAAAACGTGGGTGGATATGAGCAGGGATGCTGAGCAGGGATGCAGAGCAGGGATGCAGAGCGATGCTAGCACCACAACTATCCCTCCTTCCATGGAGGACCATGTTATGAAGGAAGAATAGCAAAAGGCCAGGCACTTGTGTAGCAAAAGAATTTTTTCTCTTTGATTCGACGGCTGAAGTGTTTCCTGGTGTGGCTCCCTCTGTTTGTACTTGTGCAGGAGTTACAAACACGCTGAAATATGAACTCATGCTTCGTAAGCCTTTAATTCTCGCTTTGATGTTTTTAATCATCAGTACAGATTTGGTTAAAAAAAAAAAAAAGTGAAATGATTCATTAGCTTGAAATGCATCTTGGATTACAGCCGGTGCTGTGCAGAACAGGGGAGGCAGAGCAGGGCCAGCTGTCCTGAGAGCAGAGCATTGGTGAGGCCGAGGTCGGTGCGGCGGGCGGAACGTCGCCATCAGGGCTGGCAGTTCCTGCCTGTTCTTGGAGGCCCTCAAATGTCCCAGCCCATCGGCTTTGAGGTCTCGTGAGCGTTCAGCCCTGTGTTCTGATGCTTCCTCACTGTATCTGTTTTGGGTCTGACATCAAGCAGTCCTTGCTTGGGAACATGACAGTTAGGATGTGGGCAGCGCGCTTGGGGTGAGAAGGAGCACACAGCCACGGTGCTGCAATAAGGGCAGCAGCAAGAGGAAAAATTCTGGGCTTGTTTGCCTTCCCTGCCTGCTGTCTGCCTGCAGCCGCTCCCTTAGCCCTCGCTTTCACCTTCTCCCCATGCACGCCGGTTGGTGTCGGCTGTCCCCAAGCTGTGGTCATGGATCTGTGCTGAGCTCTGTCCTGCAGTGACTGGAGAGGATTGAAAGCAATCTGGCTTCAGAACAGCGGCTTGGAGACAAATCCTCTATCCCATTACTTGTCCCTGGCAGTCCCTTCTTGACAACCAGGTGTCAGTGATGTCAGTGGTCTTGGAGAGGGCTGCCCAAGGCAAGTAGTCCGTCTTCTCAGTGTCTGCATTGAAATCCAGCTACGAAACCAACCTGTATCACCTCCATTTGTGCCGTGAATGCAGTGGTACTCATGTGAAGATGCCTCTTCAGCTCTTCCCATACAGAAAGTGGGGTTTCTGTCCTGGTGAAGTCGCCTTTGTGTTGATGTATTCATGTTAAAGACCCCCATCGTGTCGCCGTTGTCAGACAGCCGTGCAGCCCATGGGATGTGCCGTGGCCGACACTCTTCCTTTTCACATCTTTCAGAGCAGGATTGCTGTGGGGCGCAGCCGTGTTGCTGTGGCACTGCTCGGCCCCACTGCAGCACACTGTGGGCACAGGAGCCCTGCAAAGCTCTGCCGTCTTCTTGAGAGCAAAGATGGAGAAATGAGGAAAATTCCAGAAGCTTGAGAGCCCTGCCTGCACCCATAAGGGCAGGGGGAAGGAGCAGAATAAACACTTTATTGTGCTTGATGAATGGCTTTTATCTCGAAGGATGTTCTGAACTGCTGGGAAGGAGATGCAGCTCCGCTGAAGTTTGTCTGCAAGGCTGCTTCTTCTGTAACAAAGTGTTAAGCAACAAATGCACGGCATGTTCATATACTATGCTTTGGATAGAGGCAGCCTCACAAAGGCACTTTCAAATGTTCAAGGCCTCCTTTTGTGCTGGTTTCACTCTGGCATCCCACTGCTGCTTTGCTCTCCACCTCCAGCAAGCGGAGCTGAGCTGGGTGGTGATGTGGGGCTGTGCCTGGGGGGTGGCAGCTTCTGCTGCAGGCCCCTTCCTGCCACCCGTGCTGCAAACTCTGCTGCTGTTTTCTCCTCCCTCTTTTTCTTCTTTTTTGTTTGTGAAGTTTCCTACTGATTCCTCATGATTTTTCAGGTTTATCTTGCTTCCAGCTCACATGAGTTTCTTCTAAAATGTCTCTTTCGGAATGAATGAAGCTGGACATTAGCAGTGCTTCTCTTACTGTTGGGTTTTGGTTTGTTTTGCCTCTTTTACCTGGAAGATTGTGTCACTGCTGTGTAATAGGAGGAAAGGACCCATATGGGGAGCTCTCCTGGGGTTGCTGCTCACAATTACTGGTGAAATGAACTGCAGCACATACAAACTCTTTTCTTCTAGCCCAGAAATATCTTCTCTAAGTTTATTCTCTGGTTATTAGCAGTGGCTGTGGAAGTTAGCTGAGAGAAAAGCAAAGGGAGGGCTGTCTGTTCAGGTGCTGTTTGGAGAGTCACCCCCACGGGGAGGGCTGTGCCATTCTGTGGGGACAGCAGTCATCTGTGGGTAAGTCCTTACGCCAGCACCGGGAAAAGGAGCCAGTGAAGAAAATTGCCATGGGAAGAATCCTGCAGGAGATGGAGCTGAAGGAGGCTGCAGTGAGCTGTGGGGCTGCCATCCCTCAGGTGTGCTTTACCTGTGCAGTCGGGGCAGCGAGAGCTGGCCTGGGGAGGGCAGCGTGCAGGACAAGGCCGTTTCCTCACTGTGATGTTTCCTCCTCTCTGCCCCAGCGGATTGCTCTGAAGAGAGGAGTCAAATGAGTTTGCCACGATGAATATTCATGTAGTCGCTCCCTCCAATCGCTTTTTTCCTCCGCCACGGGAGGAGTGGGAGTGCAGAGATGTTTCTTGGCTCTCGAAGTCATGGATAAGGGTCTTGTCAGCAACTGCCTTTCTGCTAATCCTTTCTATTAGGGGAAGGATGTTGTAGCTGGACGGCGTTCTCCGTGCTGTGACTCGGAGGGAGGGATTTCAGGGGAAGCACAGCCGAGTGCTGTCAGCCATCCCAGTAAGAACCCGCATGGATTTTGGGGCGCAGTTTTGAAGCAGACTGCAAAAATGCATCGCTGCATCCCGCAGCATCCCAAAGCACTGCGGAGCTGCGTTGGCTCCCCAGGGCTCTGATGGATGTGACAGATGTCCCCTGGCCTGCCTGTTCTCTAAAGCTTGCAGGAAATTGCAGTCTGATAAGTGAGGCAAGTTGAAAGTCCTGTCTATTGTTCCTTATCGTCTGAGGGTTGTTTACAGCCCCCATCTTGTTATCCCATCTCCCACACGCTCCTCTGACCTCACCTACTTGTTTGGTCCTCTGTCTGTGGCGCCTGCTGTGGTGGTGGTGGTGAACTCTCTGGGTTGGTTGTTAGCAGATGGTGTGGATTTGTGGACACGAAATGCTGTTTTCCAGATTCGTTGTCATCTATTTGTGATCTTTTTTCATGTCACGCTTCCCTAAAACATCCCTTGAAAACATAAAGCCCCAATAGCAGGTGGCTTCTGAAAAGCTAAGATCCATCCTGAATACTGACTGGTTCTTGTGTGTTTTCTTCCCAGAAGAATTCAGAGAACGTGGGATGTTGATCCAGAAAACTAGTTCAGAGTTGGATGAAGTTTGCGAGTGAGCCTCAGATTTCTCCTTCAGTTGGTGCGAGCGCAGCGCTCAGCTGTGGGACACACTGCCCTGGGTTGGCTCAGGAAACCTGCAGCACAACTGGGGTTACCTTCAGGGCAGCACAGAGTATCGCAGCGTCCTTCCCACTCGTGCAGAGTTGCTGCTGCTGTTCACCTCCAAATGCAGTGTTCTCACCGACAAGTGCATTCGAGGCCAAGTGAATGTAGGAGCGATGCTCCACGCACCGAGGAACATGTGTGAGAGGCATTGGGAAAACCAAGGAAATATTTACACTGGGAGGGGATTGTTTACAGTGCAGTTCAAACAGTTGACGTTAGTTAGAGCAGCCGGTGCTGTGCAATATTCTGCTCTTCTCAGGAGGGTCAGGCATAAGGAAAGGATCAAACAGGGCGAGCAGGGCCGTCCTTGGACGGTACAGAATATCTAACAGCTGCACTTAGGTTAGGTGGTGAGAAGAATAAGCAACTGTGAGTCAGTCTCGTGGTTGAAGTCGAGGTCAGGGTGGACTCTGGGGTAGCAGCAGTGCGTGGACACCTCTGTTCATGGAGATGTTGGCCCTTCTTGCTGATGTTTGGCTGGTCCCAAAGCCCACGTGTGCTGCGGCGTGACAGGTTGTCAGTAACACACGAGTGCAAGTGAACGTTTTGGATGTGTCTTTTGTGCTGGGATAAGGGAATACAACCGAGGTACTGATGTCATGATGGTCTGTGTGGCTGTCGAGCTGGGAATTTGCTTTCAAACTGCTTTGTGTTACAGAATCTCCCCCAGCATGCTTTGTAGGTATACCACATATTGTTTTAATTTAAAACCAGCCTGTCTCTCTTGTTCTGTTTTTAGCATGGCTGACAAGAACAGCACCCTGAAATGCACGTTCTCTGCTCCTGGCCACAGCACCACTCTACTGCAGGGACTGGCCTCGCTCCGAGCTCAGGCTCAGCTGCTTGATGTCATCCTCACTATAAATAATGAAGTGTTTCAGGTTCATAAAGTTGTCTTGGCTGCCTGCAGTGACTATTTCAGGTGAGAATCTGATAGGGAAGCAGGCACTGTTACCTCTCCCCTTGGTTTCTGTTTCCCCATCCTCTCCTACCCCAACCTCCCCACCGTGCCCCAACGTCACTCCCCCCCGCAGCCCTTTGAGGTATGGTTTGCACCACACGTGTCAGTGGGATTCCCTGGAGGCGTGTGGACATTTGGGGTCTGTCCCTCTGCGTTCTGATGAGGTTGTTCTGCCGCAGCCCCTGGGCTGAGACCCATCTCAAGGGCAGGTCTTGAAGCCACCCCGAGGAGGATGAGGCGTTTTGTGCGTGTGTTCCCCAGCCCATAGGGAACGGCTGTCCCTCTCTGTGTCTGTAGAAAGCCAAAGCATGGAGATGAGCTTCCTTTGCCAAATTAAGGCACGATGAACCAATTGCAGAGCAGGGAGTTCAGTCTAAAGTGAAAAATGGAGTTCATCCATCTTGCCTCCATTAAAGTCTTGTCTGACAGTTCTGTGGCACGGGGTTCTCTCCCCATTCAGCAGCCCCTTGACACGCAGGTTCCTTGCTGACCTGAGCAGGTGACCAGGAGCACGGCACGTAGGCCTGTCCCTCGAATATCCCAGTTCTTCAGCTGCTCCAATGGTGTCCTTCTTAAGGACCCTCACGTTTTCCAGGCTGTTCCCTTCTCTCTCCCTTCTGACTCCCCTCGGTAACATAAACCTTCCGAGCTTATCGCTCTCCCTAACAGGCATGCAATTAATGATGGAGCTGATCTTCCACCAAATGCTAATAGCACTATTTGTATTCATAAATGCTGTATGCAGTGCCACTGTTAGTGTGTTTTCCCTGTTGAAATGTAATTGCTGAGTGGGTTTCTTGCTATAAGGTCTGTGGCATTAAGTAAGGTTGTCCTGGGGAACGATGGCAGAATAATCTAGCTTTTGAAAACGCACTTTATGCAGAAGAGGGGAGGGAAAAGAGTGAAATTGAAGCATTTATACCATCAGCGTTTTAAAACCATAACACTTTTTCAAGGAATGGCATTTTATTTGGTGGTTTGTCTTCATCATGGCAACGGCGATGCTTTCCTTTGCTTGTGCACAGCCAGCTCTGTACAGCTAATGCATGAGCACACACACATGCCTGCATCTCCTCTGGGGCAGGGGATCAGGCAGCATGCTGTTTGGTGACATGGGATCTGCAGGGGGATTTTAGCAGAGTGCTCTCATCTGCTGTATGGACAAATAATTGCGAACAGCGTTCCTGGTCACTCGGTTACAGAAAACTGATTTCATGTGCAGATATTTCCTTATTTAGGTCGTTCAGCTTTCTGTAGGGTTGTGCTGGACGGCAGCAGTTCTTCTAGCCTGGTTTGGACAGGAAACTTGGAACTCCTGTCTTTTGATAGCGTTCCCAAGGTATTTCTCTATTCCTGTGTTGATGCTAAAGAGGAAGAAGGTCTGTTCAGCATTTGCTCTGAGTAATTTGTATCTTAAAGTCGTTGCAGCTCTGACAGTGTGCCTTCACAGTGAATTCACCTCTCAGACATGAAAAAGTAGGTTATCAATGGTGAAAAAATGGCCTAAAATGTGCAGGCAGTTTGAACGGTCTTTGGTGTGACAGCCTTTGTAGGCTTGCTGTGATGTTTGTACAACGATGCTGGGCGGTGAAACCGCATGTCACCGTTCTTCAGCAACCTGGTTTGACTTTGCCTTCCGCAGAATCGCTCTGCTGCTGCTTGTTGAATGCTACACACAGTGCAAACCTTTGCCCCCCAGCCACCAATATGTAACAAAAACTGCTGAAACGTAATGTAAACCTATAAAAAACAATGTGCACTTATGTCCCCATCACGCCTGCAGGCCCCGTGCCTGGGAAACGCAGCCCTGCTTCAGAGCAGCAGTTTATGAGATGCCTGCGCAGTGCTCGGCGTGGTATGCGCTTCCTGTGGAATTTAGAAGCCTCCCAAGGAGGTGATCGAGGGCCTAATCTCAGCCTGGCCTGGTCAACTGATGTGCTTGCAGCTGTGCTGTAAGAAAATCGTTGTGTTTTTTTCTTTTTTAATTGCCTTCCAGCCCCCTGCTGTCGTACTGCAACATAACAGACGTTTTCTGAAGTGGTCGCAACTCCTATTTTCATAAGGCATTGGGAAGGAGCCTTGGAGACGAGGTTCTGTCGTAATGACCAAAGCCTTGTGTAAATTCTATTTGCAATGGCAGCGTTGAAGCCCTTGGCTAACTCACCTCCGGTGCGATGGCGTTGCCTGAAGGCCCCTCTCAGGCCAGCTCAGGGGCTCGCTGACTTCTGAGCATTGATGCCTCCCCAAAGTATTTTCTTCTTTACGCTCACAAATCCTGCGTAGTTGAAAATCAGGAAGTTAGAGTTACGGATGCCAGCCTGTGCTGCTGCAGATCCCACTGTTGCTTTTGGCTGCTGAATATCAAGGATCCTTTGGTCCAGCACACAACGCTCCCTGCTCTGATGGCTCTGACCACTTCCTGGCGCTTTGTCCTGGGAACCATTCCTGCATCCAGTGCCGGTGAAGCAGCACTGACAAACCTAACTGTGATAGCTGAATGGGACTTCTCAGTGCGTTGTTTATGCAAGCTGTATATCAGTAATTGCATGCTCTTTTCTTTTTTCTTCTGGCTTTTAGAGATTTAGCCTTGATTTATTCCCCCCCCCCATCCTTCCTAAGAGGTTCAGTATGTTTAAAAAAATGAGAAGTGCTACATCATTGACGTGCTATTAAAGAGGGGGAAATCTTTGTTTGTGTTCTTGACCTCCAGGGCGATGTTCACAGGTGGGATGAGAGAAGCCAGCCAAGACGTGATCGAACTGAAAGGTGTATCTGCAAAGGGGCTGAAACACATCATAGACTTCGCATACAGTGCTGAAGTGACTCTCGATCTTGACTGCATTCAGGACGTTCTGGGAGCTGCCGTCTTCCTCCAGATGGTGCCTGTCGTGGAGCTCTGCGAGGAATTCCTGAAATCTGCCATGAGCGTAGAAACGTGTCTCAATATCGGGCAGATGGCCACCACCTTTAGCCTCGCCTCCTTAAAGGAATCCGTCGATGCATTCACCTTCAGGCATTTCCTCCAGATCTCCGAGGAGGAGGATTTCCTCCACCTGCCTCTGGAGCGCCTCGTTTTCTTCCTGCAGAGCAATAAGCTGCAAAGCTGCAGCGAGATCGACCTGTTCCGCGCCGCCGTCCGCTGGCTGCAGTACGACCCCACGCGCCGTGCCAGCGCCAGCCAGGTGCTGTGCCACATCCGCTTCCCGCTCATGAAGTCCTCCGAGCTGGTGGACAACGTGCAGACCTTTGACATCATGGTGGAGGACGTCCTGTGCCGGCAGTACTTGCTGGAGGCCTTCAATTACCAGATCCTGCCTTTCCGGCAGCACGAGATGCAGTCCCCCCGCACCACCATCCGCTCCGACGTCCTGTCCCTCGTCACCTTCGGCGGCACTCCTTACACCGACAACGACCGCACCGTCAGCTGCAAGGTGTTCTGCCTGCCTGACGCCGGCGGGCGCCAGTTCAAGGAGCTGACGGAGATGGAGGTGGGCAGCAGCCATTCCTGCGTGGCCGTGCTGGACAACTTTGTCTACATCGTAGGGGGGCAACACCTGCAGTACCGGAGCGGCGAAGGAGCGGTTGATATTTGCTACCGTTACGATCCTCACCTCAACCAGTGGCTGCGAATCCAGGCCATGCAGGAGAGCAGGATCCAGTTCCAGCTGAACGTCCTGCACGGCATGGTGTACGCCACGGGCGGGAGGAACCGCTCGGGGAGCTTGGCTTCTGTGGAGAAGTATTGCCCCAAAGACAACGAGTGGACTTACGTGTGCTCCCTGAAGCGCAGGACGTGGGGGCACGCCGGGGCCACGGTGGGGGACAAGCTGTACATATCGGGTGGGTATGGGATTTCGGTGGAAGATAAAAAGGCCCTGCACTGCTACGACCCGGCCGCGGATCAGTGGGAGTTTAAAACCCCGATGAACGAACCCAGAGTCCTGCATGCCATGGTCAGTGCAAATAATAGGATTTACGCTCTGGGAGGCCGCATGGACCACGTTGACCGTTGTTTCGATGTTTTGGCCGTGGAATATTATGTGCCTGAAACAGACCAATGGACAACAGTGAGCCCCATGCGTGCAGGTCAGTCGGAAGCCGGCTGTTGTTTGCTAGAAAAAAAGATTTACATCGTAGGGGGGTACAACTGGCATCTGAACAACGTCACGAGCATTGTGCAGGTGTATAACACAGAAACTGATGAATGGGAAAGGGACCTGCATTTTCCAGAATCTTTTGCTGGGATAGCATGTGCTCCTGTGATACTGCCACAGATCACCACCCAGAGATAACTGAGCTGCTGTGCTGGCCGTGGGGTCGCCTCGTGTTGCATGTCGTTGGGATGGCGTGGCGTTTTCCTTGTTTGCAAATGGTATCGTGCATTTTCTGGGCGAGGGAAGGAGAAAAATAGCTTGCGTTCCCTCCTCTGTGAAGTCCCTCCTCTTCTCTTACGTAGTGTTCTGGCAAGCGTGCTTCGTCAGAAGCACTTGTCAGCTAGTTAGACTTAGCAGATGTTACAGCTGGAAAAAGCTTTTCTCTTTTTTTCTTTATCTGAAAAGTGTGTGTGTGGGGAGGGGGGGTGGGAATGCATTTTGCCAACTTTCCGTATTTTTAACAATATTACACATTGCAAACATTGACAGCTCAGGAGTAACTAAGTACTGTGGTATGTTTCAAAGAGTTCAGGTGTGATTTTTACTAATAGCTCCAAAAATCATTGTGCGTCGATTTGTTGTTTTTTTAGCAAAGAAAAAAAACCAAAACCTGTATAACACACTGACCTCCAGAAGCAATAAAGAGACAGCGGGAGCTGGAAGAGCTCAGGTGCTTGGGCTGTGAAAGCAGATCCTTGCTTTTCAGAGGTGATTTGCTTTGTTTTTCCCCTCCTGGAAGGGGAATGCTTGCCCCTGCACACCTCTGGCCTCTGTTGGTTCTTCCCTGTTTGGATTTGCAATTCCAGATCCCCTCCTCACCCCCTCCAGACATCAGCATGATATTCTTGTCCAGAAATTCTCCCTTAACTGGGGCATCCACGGTTCACAGCACTAAAGCCATGTTGATAACTTGATCACACAGAAACAAGCACGATTTTTTATAGCTGCCAAAAATTTGTTTGGCTTCGCTGGCAATAAGAGCTCGGCAGCTGTTATCTGGGCTGACCCAATACAGGCTGAAGCAGGGAGCACCCAGGGGCTGTGCAGGACCCGCTGCCTGCACGCATCCCCCAGCCCGTTCTGCACAGGGAGGTGGGTGCTGCTCATTCACCTGCTGGAGGGTTTTCTCTCTTGACTTGTAAAGAGGAGCCTGGGTTTCATGACGAGATGGAAGTCCAGGCGAATGGCCTCTGTTGCTGGTGGGTGTTTTAAATTAAGAGATTCCTTTCAAGATGGCTCTGTCATTTTTGTGAATTCTGTGTCTGCTGCACAGAATACTGCTATTTCTTGAACTGTCCTTTCCTCCAAGCCATTTTTTTTCTAATTAATTTTGACTGAGAAATGAAGTGGAAGTTTCTTCCTTTACCAGGCATTCTGTTTCAAGGGCTTTGTTTTGTACCTGTGGAAGTTGGGTTTTGATGGAGGTAGCCTTCTTTTCAGAGAAACTGTTGCGTTCTGCTGGTTAAATAAATGCCGTGCTGTAACCCTTAGAGACAACGCCTGATGTCTGTGTGGCGGATGAATCACTCATCAGGGCTGTGCAAAGCATGAACTCCGTACCTCAGATTCACTTAAGGATATTTCTGACGACGGAAGCACTTTTGAGTGCTCAGACCTCAGCTCATTTCTGCATTTGAAATTTCAGTCAAAATGATGCACAGTTTGGTTTGTTTCTATCTATCTGCTGGTTTGCCAATAATAAATGGATGGAAAGTGCTTGTTGGTGTTCAGAATGCTGAAGTCAAGTGGGCAAGCTCTGCTTCTGTGGTGTGCAGTGCAGCCAGCTCTCCTGGTACCACCGCTCCCATCTGTGGGCACTGCAGACCAGGTGCTGAGAACGGTTTGCACGTCCTCTCGCTGGGACTTGCAGCACTGTGCTGCAGGGTTCCACCTCTCCTGGTTACCAGGACGTTCTTTTGATAGTGATATAAACAATTATTTTTTGTGACGTGGCCTGGAAGGACTCCAGCTGCTCTGAATTTAGCACAGGCTGGCTGAAGTATTTGTGACAGTGGTATGATCTGTACTGATGGAGTTTGTTCGACTCCTGTGAAGTGCAAAGCTGTGGCTCTGGGCCGCTCTGTGCATAACCTGTGTGGTATCCTGAGAATAAACTGCTTCGCTTCTCTGCACTGAATGAATCTGATGGCTGGATGGGGCTCTTGGTGAATGCTGAAGTGATCTGGCTCTGCGGCTGGGCTGGAGCAAGTGCAGCTGAGGATGCTCTGCCTGAGGAGCAAGGAGGCAGGGCTCCTCTCTTCTTCAAGAATGAACAAAGCCAGCTAAATGTTTGATTGCACTCAGAGCCATTTATTAGTCTCAGAGCTGCAGTAAATGCTGTCGGGGTAAAACCTGATTTGGTATGTTTGAAAATACCTTCGAACAGATGGAGACCAGCGAGAGCACAGCATCGTTAGCTCAGGTATTCGCAGTGCGTGTGCCGTCAGGGCTGCTGTCGGGGCTGGGATAAGAGCTTCTGTCTTCTCTGATGTTTTATGGGCCTGAAATTGTGCTTAAAACTATAAAGGAAGAAAGCACTAGAACTCTTGGCAGGGTGCAGAACAGCTAGAGCTGGGGAATGTCTGCATCCTATTAATGGTGTCACTGACCCTTTTCCAGAGGGTCTGTCGGCTCGGCAATCCACTGTCATTTCTCCCCACACAGAACCTCACTTAATTCGTGCAGACGTGGCCCAGCTTTTGGGAGGAGGTCTCGGAAGTTTAGAGGCAGCAGAACATCTCATTTCTTTGATTTACAGTGAAGGAGGACACTCCCACCAGCTCTTGGTAGCCTGGTGCTGATGTAAAATGATGCTATGCAACAGAACTGCTCAGGACCTCTTGTAAGCCACATCAAACCTATTCAGATGTTTTCACTTCCACGTCTGTGATAAGCTCTGGAGTTGCTGAAACTCTGCAAACTTCAGGAGCATTTATCATACTATGATTATTGAAGCCAGACTACTGTCAGAATAAATAAAACATGTTTCCCAGTGCAACTCTAATTATGATTTTGAGCCAGTTGTGTAATGCGCAGAACTTTTATTTACAATAAATCTTCCAGTTGCTTGCATAAATGAATGAGATTTCACCACTTGTGACTTAAGGACCGGGAGAAATGGATGTGGCTGAATAAATTTACTGTCTAGCCTGGGTGTGTTGGCATGTCAGGAGGGTGAGGAGCAGAGCTGCTAGCCGTGCCTTCCTAGGAGGGCTCACTTCTCTTGCATTTCACCTGGGAGCGCATACGTAACACAGATATTTCTTCCCTAAAGTTATTTTTCTGCAGAGACAGCTTAGATTCTGCTCTGCATTTCAATACTGAGTAGGCACGGTGTCAGCCCACAGGCTGCAGAACTTTTGTTTCTCGTTCCAAGCTCATAACTGAGCTTCAGAAACACGCGTTCAGTGCTTTCCAGATTAATATTTCAACTTCAGGGAGTTCTGGAGAGGAGTTTGAAGCTTTGCTCGCGGGGTGGTCGTGATTTCAGCTGCTCCAATGCTGCTGCTCCATCAGGTGAACACGAAACGGGCTTTCTGCTTGGAGACAGCTGCTGGTTTAGCTCTGCAACCTGAAATCAGCCTCAGATTGTAAGACAAAGGATTGAGATTTCGTACAGAGCAACGGTGGGGGCCTCCAGAGAGCAGCATCAGAGCAATGTGTGCAGCTTGCAGTGGAAAGAAGAAAAGCTGTTAGAGCAGAAGTATTCAGAGGACTTTATAAGCTGAAGAGAGCAAATCAAAGGTTCTTGTCTTGATCCCCGAGGCTCTGCAGTTGCTATTTCACACCCAGCCCCCTGTCACATAATTAGCTCCAACTATTTTTTATGGCTTCTTAAAAAATGAAAATCTTTTTTGCTTGTTTATGCAGGCTACCAGCCAGTGCTTCTGGCTACCCTGCTTTATATCTGCAGCAATCCCTTTGAAGTCACTGGAGTTGCAGTGCATTAACACTGGAGAGCCTAGAGCAGAATCCATCCCTGCAGATGGATGTAACATTTTTGATCTATGTCTTCCGGTCACAACGCTTTGAAAATGCACTAAAAGCCCAATTTTACATGTGGTTATCTGGTGGTTCTAATCAGACTTCTAATCTGTGTCTCCCTTCAAGGTTTGCAATTGTTTGCTCGAGGTGCTTCCTTTTTCCTTTGGTTGCTGGTTCTTTTCCCCTCGCCGTGGGCTCTGGTTGAACTGCGTGCTCCTCATGGGTGCAGATTTACTGCTTGGCACTATCAGTACCTGCACTCAGTATTACTGCCTCCAGGACAGCGGCTCACAACTGGATTTAGAAGGAACGTATGGATTTTGCTGAGGTTTGGAAAAGAGACATTTGCCCTGTGGTGCAGGTAGCATGTCTGGACCTTAATTTTGCACGCTTTGGGGATCTCGCATGATGAAAGCTTTCTTGTGCCAAACATACGTGCTTGCTATTTCTTAGGAAGAAAACCAAAGCATATACCAGGTAGAAAAGGTTCAGGTTTGGTGTCCAGAGATGCCCCCCATGCGCACATATTCTCTCACTCATGAGCTGTGCATTCTGGGGCACGTGTCCCATGCTGCTTGCTGCAGCCTTTCTCTGCTTTCCATGGGGCCATGCTGTGCTCGAGGCTTTTTCTTGTGGTATCTGAGTCTTTCTGACAGACTGGTGTGTTCTTTCAGGCTGCAGCTGCTGTTCTTACTGGGGGTAAGAGGAGGAAGGAAAGGACTCCATCCACCCTGTTGGTAGTATGAATCTAGCAGTGTGTCCACCCACTGCAGCAGGGCAGCAAGCCTTGATCCCAGGCCAGATGTTCGGCAGGTATTCAGCCGAAGGCTTAAAGCTTGCAGTGGAGATCCTCCCATTTTCACAGTGAGAAACAAGTTGTTACATTCCTTTTGGGGATTTTGCAGAGCAGCAATTAGAGTTGCAGTGAACGACTCACTGCTCCCATCCGAGAGGCGAAAGGAACTTCTTAGAAATGCTGCATCACAGGAGAAAAGCTTCGGTCTTACAGTGCACTGCTCTGCTGTCCCGGGAAAGCAGTCCTCACGGAGCAGTCTGTGTTGCTCTTGTGTAGGGCAGAGAGTGAAATCAGTCACAGGAGCCAGCAAAATGGGGCTGTGGGGCTGCTTCCTCACCTGCTGAGGAATGGACTTTGTGTGGCACTCCTGCTCTATTGAAACGACTGAAACTAAGAGGTGCCTGGGTTTGACTGGGGTGTTTGTCTCACTGGTCGTCGAGTTTTCATGCAAACATTATCAGTATCTGCAAACAGATTTTCCCTCACCCTTTTTAATATCTTCAGCATGAAAAAGCACAAGATGAGCCTTTAACTTACAGGTAAACATATGTGCTAAGGCCTGCAAATAGCAGGAGCTGGTTTTACCAGCAGGGTTATAGGTAGGGAGTTAACTATGTGAAGCCACGACTGAAACAAATGGTTAACAGTATGATATTTTTGCTGTAGCGTATTTCTGCTTAAAGGTAGCAGCAGGGAGATCTGCCCCTGGTTTGCAATGGTGTGATCTCTCAGTGGTTAAAAAGTATTTCCCAGTTTCCTGTTTGTTTCAGCAATGTGCACAAGTCTTAAGGGTGCCTCACCTTTGAGTGCTGACTGTGAGCGTGCCTGCATCGAAAGCTTTGCCTTCTATTCAAGGGTTATCTTGGGAAGGACGAAAAGTGGCTGCTGCTTTATCAGCTTGTGTCACCTTAGCATCATGGGAATACTTCTTGCTTCAGAGTGGCACGAAGCCAGGCCTTGATTCTGGGAAAAATAACCGGACCAGAATCCTCTGTGGGGTTGCCAAGGTATTACAGAGCACCAGAAGATAAGCCTTGTAGAAATGAGAATAATATCTTTCAGCAGCCAGCGTTTGCTTTCTTTCTGTAATTTTAGAGTTTACAGGGAACGGTGGAGAAACTAAAGCTGGAAGGATGGTGGTGGCATCGTCAGGGAATACTGGTGCTCAGAGCAAGGATCTCCCCAAACTCCTTGCAGGAGAGCAGAGCCAAGCATTGCATGTGACCGCAGTTTGGTTTGCTTGGGCTGCTCATGGGATTTGATGCGTGGTGCAGAGGTGCTGATTCAGGTGCTGCCCTCTGGAAGCGAGGATCTCTTACATTAAACAGGAGAAATGCTGGGTGAAACAAGGTGTTCTCCCTCTGACAGCGGAAGTTGGAGCTTAGTTCAAAGTAACACTGAAACGATGGACTCTGTGGGGTTCACAGGATATTCTTCGGGGGCAATGGGAACGTCAGTCAGCGGGAACATTAAGTAGGAAGCGCGAGAGATCAAAATCTTTGTGTCTGTAAGCAAAAGGGAAAAAAAAACGGCCAGCTTCCTTGTGGATCAAGGCCCAGCTCACACTGCTGTGCTGTTGTGTAAGCTGTTCAACCTCACACCTTCCTCTGAAGCCTCTAAGGGAGAATAGGGAAGTAGCTGGATCTCATCTGCCAGCGCAATTCCGAAGGATCCAGAGGACACCAAACAAGTGATAAGTAAACAAAGCCTCCCCCCTGCAATCCGCTCGCTCTCGGCTGCATCTGCTTTAAGAAGCTGCAGCTTGCTCAGTAAGGAGTTGTTTGCAACAAAAGCAGATGTGAGCACAACACCCCAGTCCTCCAATGACTCTTTGTTTGCTTCGGAGCAAAGCTCTGATTCTCATTTACAAGAAACTTTTTCATAACACGTCTGGAAGGCTGGGAGAGATAGAACTGCTGTCTCAGGGGAACCCATCACAGCTTTCTAGTGAGATCAAGTTGTTCTCACATGGCCCCATATGTGCTCAAGGTGAAGACGGCGGGAGACATAAATAATACTTATGGTATGAGCTCATCATTTTGTCAAAGACATGGCATATCTCCTCCAGTGGAGGAAGAAGGAAACCTGGCACCAATCTTAAATGTCTCCTTGCCAATGTCTTAATGCAGTCAAGATTTACATTGTCTGCTAGGTCATGCACTTAGCAGCCATTCAGATCCACCCACACCCCAAAATGAGGAGCTGTGAGTGGGTGAGAAATTCCAGAAGCGGCTCAGCAAACACAAGTGTTGTATTAAAGAGAAGTTAGTTACGCAAACTGTTTTAAAATCAGAGACATTAAGATCAGAAGCAGGGCCCAGATTGCACAATGGAATTCAATCTGATAAAGCTGCACAGGCAAAACAATAAGAGAAGGGAGTCTTCCAAAGAGAGGAAGTCGACCCCCCTCCCTCCCCGCCTGGCCATCTGTGTTCCTTCCCCACAAACCCAGAGCTGGAGAGCCGTCAGAGGGGAGATTTCACTCTCTTCAATCTTGTGAGATCCAAGAGGGAAAAATTTATCAAGTTTCATCTGAGGCACTTAATCTTTTGGCACCGCAAAAGGCAGAGTGACAGCTGGGTCTGTAGATACTTGTTATTACCACCTATAGTATTAAATCCAGTGCAATTTAACAGATTACTTATCGTTATCTCACTTCTCAAGCAAAAACAATGTGGATAATGGGTATCCTAGTGTTAAATCTTGAGGTTTCTATGCTTTTAGTGTGACAGACCAATTTTTTGCAGGTCATGTGCTGTTCATGTACACAGCTAGAGGGTATTTGTCTGAAAATGAGTGCTGGCTGTTTATGCCTGGTCAGAAATGCAGGAACAGGTTAGGCTAACATCTGTCAGGAATGACATGGCTGATCCTGCAAGGAAATGGCCTGGATGGTCTTCTAAGCCCCAGCTCCCTTCTCCACTAAGCTCTTTCTTCTCACATGATAAACTTTGAGTGCAAGCTGGCAACTAGAATCTAGAGTACGACATGACTATTGCTAACGCTCACCTGACGGTTGCTGAGCTGAGTTTCATCCATCCATCTCCTGCAGCCTTGCAGTGGTGGATAATTACAGTCTCTTTTTACGTGGGCAGGAAGTGCTTATCAGTGGCTGATAAACCGACTGAGACGGGGCCGCGGAGGTGATCGATAGTGGAAGTGAGAGCAGCGTCTGATTTCTTTGCTCTGATCTCCCAACCCTTACAGGATTGGGTTACAGGAGGAAGCGCAGCTCAGGGCTGAGGTGATGCTCCAGAGCAGGGGAGCACCCGCTTTTATCTCCGTTGCTTCATAAAAAAGAAAGCGTAAAGGGCAGCGTGTGGGTGTGAGGAAGCAGCGCTGTCAGGATTTATTACTGCCTAATGGTGCAGCTCACATATCACAGTGCTTTGCACCAATCCGATGTTAACACAGCTGGAATCAATGGCTCAGCTGCCTCAGCTGGTGTTTGGAAACCTGCAGCCAGCAGGGCGGCATGTCAGCTCATCCACACCTCCAGGAGGACATCAGCCTGCTGCTGCTGCACTCGGGCTCACCAAGAAGCAAAAGGCGACACTGGGGGAATCAGCAGCGCCCACACGGGAGGACGGCTCAGTTCTGTGCAGGTTGGAGTAGGGCGGCTGCAGCAGCTGCTTCACCTGTGGGCCCACAGACCGGAGCCCCACAGACCGGAGCCCCACAGACCAGCAGCAGCGCCTCTGCCCAGTGCTCAGCGCAGGTTCCTGCCACTGCTTCGTTCATCCTATCCTGCACCAGGAGGCAGCGATGGCAGAGTGGGAGCAGCTCTTTCATACAGGACCTGCTAAGGAATCCTAACGTGGCTGCCATCCCCGATGGCGGCTGGGTGACGGCCCACGGGCTCCTCGCTTCCACCCCGCAGTGCTGTGAGGGGAGACCTCAGCCTCCATTTTCTGAAGGGAGAAACAGCGGGCCAACCGTCCTCTCCGTAACTAGACAGAAACATGAGACAGATTTTCTTGTTTATTTGTTTTTGCTTCAAACGTGCATGGTTTTTTAGAACTTATTCCTCCTTAACTCCATTGCGGCTCAACGGGAGCCGCTCCCTAAGATGAAACGGCGCGATGTCCTCACGACGCTGAGGGCGGCAAGCAGAGAGCGACAGCCGAACGCCTCAGCGCGCATGCGCACCGCGCGCCCCCTCCTCACCCCGCCGTCGAGGGAAGCCCCTCTACTGCGCACGCGCGGCTCCAGACGCCTCCTCCCGCTCTCGCCGCTGCCGCCTCCGCGCATGCGTCCCTCCGCCTCCTCGCCGCCCCCTCCCGCCGCCGCGCATGCGCCTTGAGGCCCTCCGCCCGCCCGCCCGGCCCGCCCGGCGCATGCGCCTCGCCCCCTCCGGCGCGGGGAGGGGGATGCGGACGGGGGAAGATGGCGGCCTCGAACAACCCGCGGAAATTCAGCGAGAAGATCGCGCTGCACAACCAGAAGCAGGCGGAGGAGACGGCGGCCTTCGAGGAGGTCATGAAGGACTTGAGCCTGACCCGCGCCCATCGGGTGAGGCAGCGCCGCAAATCGCACGCGGCCCCCCCGCCGCTGCCCGACGCGCGCCCCCGGTGGTGGCAGCGGGTGTGGTGGGGGGGCGGGAGGGGGAGGAGAAGGAGGAGGGAGAGGAGGAGGATGAGAAGGAGGAAGGGCGGCGGCGGCGGCGGCGGCGGCGCCCCCCGGCCCCGGGGGCAGCAGCGCGGGCGGGGCGGCGAACAGCGCCCCCTGGCGGTGGGGGAGGGCGATGTTCTCAGTTCGGGGCGGGGGGCAGCGCGCCGCCCCCACCGCCGGGCGGAACCAAAGCGCCGCGGGTTCGAGTCCCGGTGCCCCCCAGAGCGGGGTTCGCTCTGTGTATGTGTGTGTTTGGGGGGGGTCCTCGGGTTTCAGGAGGGACGTGGGGAGGGGCAGGGGGAGCCCCACAGGGCGTCGGGAGGGGCTGAGCAGGGTCTGCATCCCTCACGCTGTGACAGGCCCCGCTCCAAAGGGTGTTTTCCTTCTGAGGCAAACCCGGAGCTGGGGGGTCTCCTCTCACAGAACCCCGGGCACACAGACCTGCGGACGCTCAGCGGGAGCTGCTGGGCCGTGTGGCTCTGATTCTGCTCCCTCTGGATGCAAATTGCTGTGCTTTGTGATCCTCCGTGGCTCTGCCTCTGCAAAGCCCGTGGTTGGAAACGAGCGGCGCAGTGAAGTGCCTTTGCCAAACATCAGATGCGTTTGCTGGTTGAGATCTGCGGGTATCACAGCTCTTCTGGTCTCACCTGCTTGTGTCAACGTTTTCGTTTCTCTTCCAACTGCTGAAGGAACATTTATGAGCTTGTTCGCGGCCGAGCGAGAGAACGTGCAGTTGGATGTGCAGTAAAACCTCTCCTTTCAGTGCTGGGTGTCAGGGCAGGGTAAATATTTATTTTCACTTGGTGCCGCTGCTCAGAGGGAAAACAAAGGCATGTGGCTGCAGAGGCGCGAGGCCGGGGCTGCACTGCGCGTCTGCTGGTGCGTCGTGCAGGATGCCGTGCTGGAGTTATGCTGGGAAAGCAGCGAGGGCAGTTTGGAGCTGTTTGCAGTCGTGGAGTTCTCTGTGCCTTGAACGTCTGGTGCAGCTCCATCTCCTGTGGGTTTTGCCTTTCAATGGCCGTTGCTTGGCTGCTGCTGCAGTTCTTGAAGTCCGCAGCGGTTCTTCCCTTCGCCCTCAGGTTTGGTGTTTGCCTCCTGCAGGATAAGGATGTCCGTAAGTCAGAATGCTAATCTGGTTTCTCCCACATCTGAGCGCTTCTAATCCAGGATTTGCAAATGCAAACCCTTCTCATTTTCGAGAACCCGGTACTGAGAAAAGGACCCAAGATGAATGAGTTGTCTGAGGATTCTGGGTACTGAAGTGATGGAAACGCTGACCGAACAGCTGAGTAAAATGTCTCCTTTGTAGACTTTTTCTGAATTCCATGATTTCATCTGTGTTTAAAATGCAGTATAAAAGCAAAAAGGGGTTAAGCACAACTTTGCTGTTTGCTCTCATTTTCATTTGGCAGGCAGCGCTGTGCTGTCATTTGAAAACGCGTTACTCAGTGTGTGGAAGCAGCCCAAAATTTCTGTTGCTTTTGCATTATTAGTAATTGTCTTTTTGCAGTGTTTACTCTCTTGTCTCCTTTATTGTTAGTTACTGGTCGCAGCAGAGGCACAAAACTACTGTTCCACCATTTCTTGTGCGTAGCCGTGCTGTTTCTGGGCTTGCTTTCTCACTTGGGAGCCCACCATCCATTTAACTGTTGAGTCCATCTGAGATTTGTGCGTTGCTGTGCTTCTTTCTTGTCCAAGACAAGACAGAATGTGATATTAACTCCTTTTCTTCTCTGTTGCCCTTGCCGTTCAGATGGTAAATATGTGTGTATATATGTAATACTCATGCTGTGCTCAGGAGCTACAAATTGCTGTCTTTCAGCTGCCCAGTGCAATCCCAGCTTTTCTGCAGCCACAGAGCTTGCAGAGAGCCTCGCAGGTGGGTGGCTGATAGAAGCACTGGATCTGCTTAATTGTCTTGTGAGTGGGACCTTCATGTTTATAATCCAGAGATTTCTGCGAGTCCCATAGTAACTAAGTGGGTGAGAAGAGGGGGAGTTCGTTCTATGTGACTCCTGTGTTCTGCTGATGATTCTGTTCCCTTCTTTTTTTTTTTTTTTTAATGCAAAGCATGAAATTTCAGGACTGTGCTGATTTCTGAGCTGTTTACCAGGGCCTGCTCTCGATTCCTGCTGTAGCACAGCACAGGGATGCTGATGGTGCTCCCGCACACAAAGCTGCTGCTGCCTTCTGAAGGTGCAGTTAACAAGACGGTGCCGTGCAGGGTGACACAGAGTGCTGAGCTCTTCAAATCTCATCTCAAGAGCCCTACATTAAAGCATTTAAGTTTTTAAAGCTTGTCACCTGCATTTCGAAGGCAGTTCCTCTTCAGCTAGAAATGCTCTCGAGTTTCCAGGGCCGCTTATTTATTCGTTTATCACCTATATTGTGGGAGGTACTTTGTTCTGTGGGATTCTGGCTGGGGCTGTGTTTGAATTCCCTCTCATGGATTTTGCAGCCTTAAAGAGAAGCCCCCAGAACCTCCTGGCCCCACAGACAGCAGGGAAGTGGGCTGCTGCTGCTGCAGGGAAAGCGGGCAGGAAAGGAAGGCAGGTGAACAATGATGTTTGGAAACGAGCTGCACAATTCCAGCACTGCCTGTGGCCTCTCCATCACACAGCAGTGTGTGGAAAGCATCTGTGAGCTGCTGCAAACCTCTCTGCTTAGAAGAGGACCTCTCCTGATAGCCACTGTTCCTCAATGGCACCACGTTGGTTTTCTTGGCGCTGAAGCAGAGGCAGGAGCGCTAGGAGAGATCAGAAGGTCTTTGTGCATCACAGCTGTCCATCACATGTAGGTAGCGTGCAAAGCAGTGTTTAAAAGCTTACTCCAATCAGCACTGCTGATCTCTGCTTTAAAAAATGGTAAGCACTGATGGTGGTGACAGTGTTGTAGTGATTCCCGATATCTTTTATTAACTAATTTGGCACAGAAGAAATTCCAATTGCGAGATGGTGCTTTGATGTGACTGAGAGATGTGGAAGAAGCGCAACAGAACCAGAACTCAGCCCTCGAGCAGAGGCTGGGTGCTGTCAGCTCTGAGTGCTGTGCTCCAGGCAACAGGGAGCTCCCCTTGTGCAGCAGTGTTGCTCTGGCTGTGGCTCTGCCCAGTGCTGTGCTCCGTTATGCCAGCTGCAGGGCTCAGAAGTGTCATGGGCAGCTGGAGCAGGGCAACCTGCTGATCTGAACCGAGCAGTGCTGGGCTGGAATAGCACACACTGCCAGGAGTGTGAGAGCCTTAACGCAGGGCTGAATCGGTGCAGATGTGCAGATGAGCTCCACGGGGCACAAAGGATCTCTGTTCCCTGCTCTGCCTCCTTCCTTGCCCTGAGCTGCCCAAGGTAAACAGCTGCTGATAGCCGTGCTGCACTCAGCAGGGCAGCCTTTCTGCTGGGAGCCCACTCGGGTTTTTCTTGTGTTGTTTTTCTAAGAAGACAGCGGCTTTTTTCATGCTTCCATCACTAAGGTGCGTTGTGGCCGCGTGCTGCTGCTCTCAGTGCGCATCCACTCCTGCACTCAGCATCGCCTGGTGCTGTAAGCATCCAGCATCCCCAGCACACCGCCTGGAATCGTGCTCCTGGTGCATCTCAGTGTGTTGTGTGCAGTTCAATGGATGAACACGTGGAACTGCTCACTGCGCTACGTTTCAGAGTTGCTTCAGCAGCAGGGAATATTTGCAGTAATTTGCATTTCTAGAAGTTACTCATTTTGTCAGAGCAGAGTTCGGAGCTGTCAGCCCTTCCCCTCTCTGCTGGGTTTTTCCCTCGGGTGGATTGCAGAGCTGTTGGCCCAGAGCTGAGCTATGCTCGGAGCTCAGATCCTGGCAGCTCTCAGGTGTGGGCACCCATTTCTTTTTGGCCTCTTGTTTACAGATTGCGCTGCGGGGTGGTGATGATTTGAGTTGCAGCTGCAAACGCCAGAGCTCCAAACCTGCTGTGGACAACTGTCAGTCAGCATAAGGAGCTGATTCTTGATTAATCTGAATAATGTGCTGCCATTAATTCGAGAAATTACCCGGCGCTTCTGGCCGCTCTGCGGTAGCAGAAACGAGATGCTAATTGGGCAAGAAGTGGGCATCTTCTCCTGCGTGGTCAATGGGGATTGAAGCAAGATGGCTTAAAGGCGTAATATTTGTCTTGGTTTTCTCTTCTTTGTCTCTAATTGCTGAGGAGTGTTTTCTTGGGCTGAATTTTGTCAATTTCCATGAAAGCATCGATCAGCCCCTAATGGTGCATTCCATCAATACTCTGCCTGGTGTGCTGCTCTCTCAGTACTGTGGGCCACTTCCCAGCCTGGAGGAAACTGCTGCAGCTGAAGGAAACAAGCTCTGCCTTCTTTAAAACAGCCTTTCTGGTTGTGATGGCTGGCGTTTCTCCCCGTGTCACTGTGGATGTGCTGGTGGAGCCGTTCCTTTGGAGTTGGGCTGTCTGGCTGCTGGCAGGGCTGAGGTGGATTTTGGTAGCGAGGGTCAGCTTGCAGCCGTGTGCATTTTGTGGCAGCAAGGTGTTGTGGCCTTCGTGCTGCTGCCCTTTGTTTCCCTGTCGGCCCAAACTACGTGCGTTCCCATGCAGACTTGCAGTCCCGAAGGCTTTCGTGTAAACTCGAGGTGGCAGCCAAGCTGTAAGTATTTATTAACTCATTAGCTAAGATTTGCGTATCTGATAGTGCGTGGGAGTTAAAGTTTAAAATGTTGCTTCCATTCGCTTTAAATGATTTGCATAGGATGATTAGTGCCATGTAAGTGATATCTGGGGGTAAGATTTCTGTCGAGCTCTCCTTTGGTGCTCTGCAGAGCAGCGGAGCTGTTGTGATCTCATTGCTGCTTCATAACACTGTGACCGAGTAGTAAAAACAGGTAGTAGTCCTGTTCTGCACGTGATTTCCTCGCAACTGAACATTCC